GAGATTAACAGACTTCTAAGTACTGTACTTATGGATAATTTAATTTTGGGTTAAATTGGAGGCCAGTGAATCTGGAATGGTTCCTCCAGGACGGTACAAGTACCCCGGGGCACTGGAACAACGTTAAGGGGATATTTCCAGAACCCACGCTTTCCAACTTCACCCCGGGTTACTGTATGTGGATACAATCATAACCTCATGCCGGGGTCAGAGGATTAATGGGGAGGACATCATACGGATCCCACGCCATGAAGTATGATACCACGCATACACATACAGCTCCAGGCTCAGCCCCGCTGAAGACTTGAAGCAAAGAATATCACTATTTAATGTATCGTTTTCATAATTAAGAAATTGGTGTCATTAAACTGAGATATCAATAACATATACACAGATTTTCCAATTGCACAAAAACTTCAGCTGCTTGATGCATTGAATATTAATTTAGATAATTCTTTATTTATTTATTTATTTTTAGTAAAACTGTTTCGACAGACATAACGTTTGTGCAAGGAAAAGTCCCAAACTGTCAGTGTTTAAAAATATTGTGTGCTGCCATCCAGCGACGGAAAATAAAACTATTATTAAATATGGAAGTAATAATGTCTAAATTGAAGTCACTGCTAAATAGTTATTTTCCTTTTTATTCTCTTCCTACAAAGATACGTGTAGTAGAATAACATAATTACATTACTGTTACATATTAATTAAGCTGGTATATTCTTCTTGAGAAAATAATATTTTAATTACTACTTTGAAAAGATATAGCACACAAAATTTAGTTATATGCCCTTATCATACTAGGGAAACAAAATTTCGTGCATTTTCTTAAAACTGCCATTCAGAGATTTTGAATCCTAATGTTTGTTTTAAATAGTATAACAAATAATGACTTTTTAAAATAAGGTTAATTTTTCATAACTACATATTTGTCTTGAAAATAAGAAGCTTTTAAAACATAAGTTGACATAGTTTATAGGAAGTGATATATGTGCATCTAGCATTAATGACTGTCAGTTTTATAATCACTTATAATAAGCTATAATTGTTTTAACAAGCTTTAGAGGCTGTTTTTACTTTCTTTATGTTTGAACCTATAAATCCATTTTAAGGATTAACTCACTGCTTTGTTATTCTACATTTAGGTTGTTTATATTTTTATTTGTAGAAATTAAAGAAGACATACTTTGGCAGATTTCTTGATTCGTTAAGAGATGTAATAAAATGGCAAATTACGCACGTAAGGAATATTTAAAGAAAGAGCATGCTACATTACTCGACAAGAAAATGCCTCATTTAATCAATAATTCTTATTTCAGCTATTAGCAATTTTAAGTCTAATATCAGAACTTTTACTGTTCAAGAACACTAGACGAAATTTAAAACACGTTTTATTTTCGATAACTTTCGTCCAAAAACGTAATAACATTTTCATTTTGTCCATTCCATGAACTACAAACACGTGATTATAACATACAAGCATACGAAACAAATATTTAAATACATTTGCAATTTTTCATGTAATGCGTGAATGGTTCTGGATTTTGTATTAAGTTTTAGCTTTTTTTCTTCTAAATTATAATTAAAAAAAACAATAATGAAACACTTTCAGTTTAAATATCTAAAGCTCCATAACTTGATGTTTTTCAACCTGAACGGTACCTTATGATACATATAAACTAAACGGTCAGTTCAGAAATTCTGAGGTTCAGCCATAGCCATCCTTAATCCATAACTGTTGGTATCACACAACCTACGAACGCCAAACAATGCAAAAATGTAATTCTGATGCATGCATTTTCACAAAGAGTTTATATCGGCTGTGTTTGACTTCTGACTTCAATATGTCGTACTAAAAGCTCAGTGTGAACTCCAACCATTGCCACATGTGTATCTCCAATCATTTCCACATGTGTAAGCAATATTTAGAGTCTTAATATGTAGCTTGTTCTATTATTATTTTTGTTATAAGAAAAAAAAAGATACCAATTACCAGATAAAAATTCCGACCACCAACATAGTCATTGTTTTTGGTCATCTATCCACGTGTATCAACGTGACTATAGTGTTTTCATAATTTATTTATTTGTTTTTAGAATAATGCTTAGCTTCAATATCTTTAAGATCTGCACATTTATTCTTTCACTGGAATGTTGCATTGAAAAATGTATTCACGTTAAAGTCCTAAAACTTAAATGGCAGCTTGAAAACTTGGGTGGCATAAGTCACAATGTTATGAGGATTCCAGTGAAAACTGGAATGTCTATTAGAAAAAAAAAACAGATTAGCTTTTTGATGCCTTGATATTTCACCTGACTTTTTCTTCAGAACGATGTCATTGCGAAACGTTTAGTTTGTTTTGAAATTAGCGCAAAGCTACATGATAGCTATCTGCAGTGAAAGACTAGAGGGCAGACAGCTAGTCATCATCACCCACCACCAACTCTTGGGCTCCTCTTTTACCAATGAATAGTAGGATTGCCCGTAACATTATAACGCCACTACGGCTGAAAGGGCGAGCATGTTTGGTGGGACGGGAATTCGAACCCGCGACCCTCAGATTGTGAGTCGAGAGCCCTAACCACCTGGCCATGTTAGGCCACGAAACGTTTAGAGATTAAAGGTAACCCATAAGAAAGCGAGGCACGAAACCTTGATTTCGAAGACCTAATGCCTCTTATAGTGGCATTGTCATAAACTGTACACTCAAAACAAAGTTGGATGATCAAAGGTGATTACAAAAAATCAGTACTTCGCCTTGATTTATCTTCATTCATCAACTGATGAAAAAAATATATAATTTAGAATACATTTGCGTTTGTTTGTTTGTAATTAAGCACAAAGTTAAAAGTGGGCTATCTGTGCTCTGTACACCACGGGTATCGAAACCCGGTTTCTAGCGTTGTAAGTCCGCAGACATATCGCTGTGTTACTGGGATGCGTATATTTGCATAAAGCTCCCAGTGATGAGCGTGTCGGGCTGCGGATCGAAGGTTCCGTATTTTGAGAGAGTATACTAAGAAACAGGCTCAGCACTCTTTAGTTTTAGACATGTTATAAAGGTGACAATCATTCCAATTATTCATTTCAAAACGCATATGGCGGCAAGCATTCCTGGCTAGCTGTCTCTCCTTTGATCAGTAGACGCTTAGCCCATGTTCGCATAATATACTGTTCATGCTGAAAATTGCAATCCCTTTATCCCGTTTCGAAAATTAATTACTGATACTGTGATAACGGAGATGGAATAGTAATTAATTAACAGTTATTCATTAGCAGTTAAAGCTGGCGATGTGAGAAAAAAAAAAGACTGGCATTAATAGCGCCGTTCCTTATTTTTGTGTTTTTGTTTTAGTCCGACTAAGATCCATAGCTTCATTATAAAAAAGAAAGAGGAATTTTATTGTAAGATTTTGCATCAATCTTGCTCAGCATGCATATGTTTAGATGACCTGCTAGCTACAGGTGTTAAGATTATGTGTTTGTTTTGAATTTCGCGCAAAGCTACACGAGGGCT